ATGTTTATGAAACTAGAATAGTCTCCCTTTGCATTATCGGTTATCGAGACCATAATGTTTATAATTACATTTTTCATTACACCATGGCCAACTACTTAACTGGAAGCTAAATGTGCTCCTTTTTGTTTTTTCCTATCTCTGCAATATAGCAATGCTTTAGATTTAGTGCATTTTGGATAGTTTAGAGTGAGCTCATTTGTTTGAATAAGAACATATGTCATGCTGTTTGGGTAATTTGCAGTGAGTTTGTTTGGTTTTAGTCCATCCATTTTGGTTGGAATTTTGAGCTTTTTGCACTGCCTGATGATCGTCAATTCATTCCTCATCCTTCCATGCAAACCACATTTCATTTCTTTTGCCCACAAAATTTCCTCGTACATAGGTATTGGGCATGAAAAAACTAAGTGGAACAAAACTTTTTTTCCTGAACACCTGTTGCTATTTACTTGTAAGTTCATAGAGTTGCCTTGATGATATGCAAATACGGATCGCTCGTGCCATCTTAATAGGTCCGTTGGGACAGCGGCCACAAACAGCACCTAATGATCGAAGCACGATAGAAAACTGGTTGTTGAGGCCTCCCCTTAGGGAAAGGCTCCGATGACTGCAATAAGTCTTCTCTGCTGAAATTGATTTTAATCCAAACTTGTGATCACTGGCAAATTGGTAGTTGTTAATATAACTCATCTGCCCTGGCTGTTGCAACCACCTCTAAAAAATAAAAGATTCAGCCATGCTTTTCTATGGTTGGGGATGGGTAGGTTTGAAATCTATGGTGTTGTTTAGATCCTCAATTTTTTGTCAACTTTTTCAGGTACTAAAGTTACTTTGTTTCGAAGACAAGGAAGTTTGTGACTTTTTCAATCTTTTCTTAATCACAAGTAGACAATAAACAAAGTCGTTTTAATTGTCACAACATGTATAGAAGTCTAATGGAACGACGTTAGTGCGTTGTAGTTGGTGTACAATCATTTTATTTGGGCACTTTAATTGATGACAACCGTCACAAATGGCGTTTGTTTCTTGATTTCATTGTACCGTGTTCTACGCAACGGCCAACATTATGATCTCTATGTTGCATGTGTTTTGAAAGCGTTAATACGTGCTCCAACTTACATGTAAACTTTCTATTAGTGCCATAATATAAATTGCTACCATGCACTAACACAAGTTAGTACCAAAAACATTTCATGAATTATTATATAGTTGGTTTCAACATGATAAGAAATTGTTGTTTGTGAGATTTTAGTTGTTAGTAGCAACTTTGTTGAACATGACAATGAAAGACCAAGTTTCTAGAGAGAGACTATGTAGATTGTGTAACAATTTGTTCATATTCCATAACAACTTGTGTTGCACATCTAATACAACTTTTATGTAACAGCTTGTGTTTTTATATGTTGACGAAGCAACTTATTTATGCAGATATGGTGTAGCAAACTACTTTCTATGTTTGGTAATTTGTAAATGAAATGTTAGCAATAAGTTATGTTTAAAGTCAGGAAGCAATTTACATGGGAAATTTATTATCAACTTTTTAACATAAGCTAATAGTACTGATACACATAAGTTGTTAGTGCAAATAAAATGACTCAAAACATATATAAAATACTTGTTTTGAAGATCTGGACACGAGGAGCATAATGGCCCACATAGAAATGGAAACACGTATTAGATGAGAGAGTAATGGTCATTATACAATGTCAAATTGAATTGACTAGAAAATGTACATGATGTCCACTATGGAGTCTTAACTATGATCATGTTAGGGGAGGGTGTGACCCTTTTGTCTTTTCCTAGTCACAGGTAGACAAAAAATATATTCTTTTTGAGGTTGACACAACACGCAATAGGGAAGTCAGGTAGAATATGACATTAGCACATTGCATTTGTTGTACAATTATTATTTGGGCATTTTAATTGATGACAACTTTCATACGATGTCCGTTCTCGATTTCATTGTATCGTTATGCGATGAGGCCAACATCATAACCGTGTTACAAATTGGGGTACCCACAGTGGTATAGATAGCTTGCTCTCTATAATTTTGTCCACATCAACTATAGAGTACACAATAGATTAATCCTCCAATAGGTTGACTGTAACAAACATTCCAATGTTTTATGGACACCACGTGTCAGTTTATTTTAAAGGGTGGTTAACAAACATTCCAATATTTCTAGTGTTTGTTGTTTACGTACTGAACAACTTAGTTCTTGGTTCTATTGATCACCATTTGATCCGGTGATGGATATGAATAGCACATCAGAGCAATGCTATAGTAGACCTTTTGGTATGTTGAAGATGCTATAAGTCCTCACTGGATGATTAGGTGAAGGATTTATGCAAGGCACCAAATCATCCGATGTTGCCTAAGCTTGCACCGCGTTGCCTAATGGCTAGCTCTTCTTAGTGGCTTATTATATGTTCTCTATCTCATTTTGATCCATCTATCATACCTAGCTTGGATAGACACATCTTGGATATTATTTTGCTAGAGGAGAGCGTATTAGTGATTTGCAATATCTTTGGTTGAAGATTAAGACTTGTTTAGTGCAAGTGAGTAGCAAGTGTGCATCCTTCTAGGGTCGTTCTTGATCAAGTGAAGCTAGAATTATTTACTCCTGGTTATTTCCATCACCTAGATAGCTTGTTGATTGTGGCTCGACGATCTTCCTCTTGTTAGCGATGGTTAGAAGGCCCAAAAGGCTTTGTGCTTAGTTTGGGACCCACCAATCTAGGGATGGAGAATGGGTACCCTTGGTGGAGCTTTGGCCTTGGTGACCCAAGGGAGCTTAACCCTTAGTGAGTGCTATAACACAGACTATTTTTACTGCTAGTTTATTTTGTGCTTGTGTGTGCTTGAAGTACATGATTGAGTATTGTAGCTCTTTGTTCTCAAACTAACATTATAGGTTTACTTTCTTACACCCAAGGACATAATGCTAGTGTGATCTTTGAATCAAGGACGTAGCTTAGTATATTGGACCTATAAACCTTGTCTTAGTATGTTTTTATCACAAGTACTATATCTTAATATAAGATAGGTTTGGACGAAGGGCGAAGTAGGTTAGGTTAAGGTTCTAAAAAATTGTGCTTTAAATTTTAGAGCACAATCCAACCCCCTGGCCATTTGATCCTTTCACACATATTATCTTATACCATGAAGTAAGATGATACAAAACTCCACAAATACGAACATCCAGTCACAAATAGAAGGCAAGCATGCATCTAAAGTATCTCACATGTCTCTAAAAGTCTGCTAATTCTAAAGCATCTCACATGTACCTGAAGTCCACTAATTCTCCATCGGTAGCGCTCCATGAGACGCTCAGCATGTGTGACAACTAAACGCCCCCACTCCACTCTTTTGCAAAAGCCTCAGGAATCCCATTGAGAGAAGCGGGGGGGCAGTGGGACCTGAAAATAGTAGCTTTACCCGTCTCCCTCTCGATCTCATTGGTCCAGTGTGGCTCCCTGTTTGATTTTGTTTGGCACGGGCAAGGTTGGTGTGGTGCGGGGTGATGGTGGCGTGAGACAGGAAGGAGAGAGGAGGGACAGAGCCATGGCGAAGGCGGCGTGGGATGGGGAGGGTCATGTCGACAGTAGCCTAGCGTGACGAGTACCGAGCGTGTGGTGGAAGAAGAAGGTGGAAGGAGGCGTGCACCCGGTGGAGAAGAAGACATGTGGTGGAGAAGATAAGTTGGAGAGAGAAGACAAACAAGAAGTAAAATAAGTGAAGAAAAAATAAAGAAAGAAAAAAATATAATGGTATTAAAGAAATTTCATCTTTTTTCAACAACTAGGGAACCTATTTTACCAAACATTTTTCTAACCAGTGAAGCTGGAGCCAGAAAAAAGATTCCTTTGGTTGGGCTTCCCAACCTGCTTTGGCTTCCTAAAAAACCAAAAGTCAACCAAAGGGACAGACTTTCTCCTATGTTCTACAAAGAAAGCAACTTTTCCATAGTACAAATGTCACATAACCTAGTTACCTGCTTCTAGCGGTTGTGGGGTTCAAGTTTTCTCAAAAATTACCCACCTGCCGCTGGTTATGATGTGTATCGTCTCATTTTTTCAATCCCTCCCCCAATCCGTGTGAGAAACAACGGCCATCGGCGGCGATGGAGAAGGACTCTGTGTGGCGGATGAGGTTGCGTCACGAGGAGGTGAGGAACGAGTCCCAATCGCCGTCCACCGCCAGCAGCATGTGGCTGGAGGAGCACCCGGAGGCCGCCTCCACCACCAGCGGCAGAGGCATGGTCACGAGCACGGGCCTTGTGCCGGCACCTCTAGGGGACGAGGAGGATCAGGAGGACGTGGCGGCGGTGTTGTAGGTGAAGCGGAGCAGCGAGCCAGAGCGAAACATCCTAGGTCCCAGAGCTAACTGCTTGCAGCGGGCTCATCTAGGCATGGATGACAGACAGGAGCACACCGGAGAAGATGAGGGAGAGAGAAGAGATTGAAATGTGGGGTCATGAATGACATGTGGGGCCACTAACAACAGTTTTTTTGGAAGCCACAATCGTTCAACCAAATCGCTTTCAGCTTTCTCACAGCCCACAATCAACAAGAGCTTTTTCACAGCCCAAAACCGCTTTTTTCAGAAGCCGTAGTTCTACCAAACACACCCAAAGTTGTTTCATGCTAGATGTTGGTTTAGCTGGAGTTAGAGCACTACCAAATGGACCCATACATAATGTCTAAGGCTATGCTTCAAACAGAGGACACGACAACACATACACCATTGTGCCGGCCTGGCACCAGATCGACCAAGGTTTTTGCCGAGAGATAAAACTAGTGAAGCTCGGAGAACATGAACATCTCAACAACCGCACCAATATGATATTTGAAGACCTGAACCATTCTCCAACCAGCAAATTATTCATTCAATTATTGTCATAATAATCACTGCTATATATTACGAGTATAAAGGAGGAATGCTTTGTGCATTGTTGAACACATTTCCAGGATCAACCTTAGTCTTGGCCCGAACCAACCTTCCAAAATTCATGAAGAAATACCGCTCGCCCCATGACGCCGCATGTCCCACAGAGCCATAGGACGTTCCACCGGTCGCGTTCATCCAGTCATTGGTGCCCAAATCAAGGTCCAAGTAGTTCACATACGCAGCCCGCGGGTTCTTCGTCACGTAAGGCGCCATGAAAGCATAGAACGACCGGAGCCATCCGATGTACTCATCCGCACGATCGACATCCGACGCTTTCCACGAGACGCCATACTGGATGCTGTACAGGTACCCAGCACGGTGAGGGAAAGGCGTCACGGTGCTCCCGATCTCGCCATGGCGCCGCCGTAGGGATCCAGCTGGATGGACCCTCCGGCAGCCCGGCTGTCGCCATGAACCGCAGGATTTTCACAGCGTCCCGCATCGAGATCGGTGCCTGGACGTAGTCGGACTTGCTCTTCGAGAACTGCCCCACCCGGGCTGACGGCTCGTGAGGTCGGCAACGGTGCTCAGGCCGGCGAACTTCACCGCCGACTCGAGCCAGCTCACCTCGGAGAGCTCCGCCTCGGCGAGCCCCAGCTCCGGGAAGGTCTGGCTCAGCACCGCCATGGCAAGACGCTTCGGCCCGAGGACCTGGCCGGTGAACGACATGGAGTGGTTGCCGTTCGACGATGACACTGTGGGAATGTACGTCGAGAGGTAGAACTCGTCGGGGAGGCTCGGCGCCACGTACTGCCACCTGTGCATCAGCCCGGCGATAAGCTCGGCCGGGCCGGTGCGGCCGACGCTGAACACGGTGATGTTGTCGGGGACCGGGACGAGCCTGACCTTCCACGCGTACACCACGCCCCAGCTGCCTCCGCCGCCGCCGCGGATGGCCCAGAACACGTCAGGGTGCATGGTGTCACGGGTGAGCGTGTCGCCGCTCGCGGTGATGAGGACGGCGTCCAGCACGTTGTCGGCGGAGAGCCCGAACTTCCTCGATAGCAGGCCGAACCCGCCGCCGGCCGTGTGCCCGCCCATGCCGACCGTGGCGCACGACCCGGCGGAGAAGGCTAGCGTCCGGTTCGATAGGCCAACCGCGTGGTACACCTCGCCCAGCGTCGCGCCGGACTCGACCCAGGCCGTGGCGGTGCCCGGGTCGACGTCGACATGGTTCAGGTTGGACAGGTCGATCACCACGAACGGCACGTGGTTCTCCGTGGTGTAGGAGAGGCCCTCGTAGCTGTGCCCGCCGCTGCGGACGCGGATCGCCAGAGAGGTGTTGCGCGCGCAGAGGACGGCGCGCTGGAGGTCGCGCTTGGTGGACGGGAGCACGACGGCGGCCGGCTTGCCGACGCTCGGGAGCGCGAAGCGGAGGTTCCGGATGGAGGAGTCCAGGAGCGGCGTGTAGCTCGGGGATGTTGGGAGGGAGAAGTTGGTGACGCCATTGGAGAGCAGGCACGAGGAGATGTCGGAAGGTGGTGTTGGTGGTGACTGTGCACTTGCCCGTGTGGCTCCTGCGATTGCAAAGAGAAAGAGAGCATGAGCAAGAGCTACCGTGTGCATCGTCATGGGGGGTTGATGCATGGACGCTCGATCGGCTTGATGCAGCAGATGGATGCATGGATGCCTATATAATGTGAGAAGAAATCTGTTGCCCAGTAAGCCTAGAGCATGGATGTCAACAATAACTAATTCTGGAAGACTTTTAGTTTCCGAATGAATGCATAGTTGTATACCACACCAAGTTAAGCTAGTTGCATATCTGTATTCCAGAATGCGTGGAAAGTCGCAAACTGCTGCCTCGACCTGGTCAAATCGAAAGGCTTCCAAGAAGCAATTTTGACCACGGAATTTATTGGTGTGTACGGTTAATATAAGACTTGTCAAGAGTCAATGAGTTCAGGTAAATGTTGAACAAAGAGAAGAAAATTACATGTGAATCAGTGAATGTATTAATTTATGGATGCCGATAGCGATCCATTTCATGCATGCGTCCTAGACGACCTGCCGTAAATTCTCCAGAAAGAAAATGTATAAAAAATATTGACTTCAAACTGGAGTTTATGTGTTGTCGTCATCAGTCATCGATCACGTGCAGAGAAGTGATATGCATACTTGTATAGACGTACGTAAGTGTTGTACTGTTGTACAAGGCTGAATATCTTGCTCATATGAATTGCATGGACCAACTGGCTGCCTAATTGTGAGACTCTCTCATGCCTCTACGGTTACAAACGACGGCGTGGCCGCAGGTAGCCCGTCCCACGTCGGCACGCGCAGCGGCCCATTTTCTGCATTGTTTTTGCGGCTTGCGCGGCGGCCCGCCGGCCCGCATGCAGTCCCGCCAGGAAAGCTGCAGCGCGCCGCTGGTGCTGCGTCCAAGGAAGGAAAGGCGGTGTGGTGACGCGCGTGGGCACTGTGTATGGGAAGGAGGTGGAGTTGAGCCGGCCGAATTTTTTACAATTCGATCTTTTTTTTAAAGTTTCTCGTAAATAGACCTCTGACGGAAAGAATTCAGGAAATGGACCCTTAGCTCGGCGCCATTGATGCTTGCGCCGAGCTAGGCGCCAGCGTGTCTGGCGCCGAGCTCTTGGGCACGGTCGATGACCTGCCAGGGGGCTCGGCGCCAGAGTGACTGTCGCCGAGCTCGGCGCCGTAGATCTTGGCTCTGACCCGAGCTCGGAAATATCTAACGGGCCCGCGCCTTTCCTCTCTTCTTCTCCCTCTCTCGCCCTAGCCGAGCACTGCCGCCGCCCCTTGCCCGCGCCACCGCCGTGCCCGCGCCACCACGCCCGAGGCCGCGCCCGCCACCGTGCCCGCGCGCGCGCCCCGAGGCCGCCCCCGCCCCGCGCCGCGCCGCCTCCGCCGCCCTCCACTGCGGTCCTCGCCTTGCCCTCCACCGTCGACCTCGGCCGCGGCCCGCCTTGCCGCCCTCCACCGCCGGCATGCCTCCCGCGCCCGTCGAGCCGGACTCGCCGCGCGTAGCCCCGGGCATCCCGCGCCCGCCGCGAGCCACCGCTGTCGTCGGCCGCGCCACCGCCAGCCCGGATCTTCGGCCTGACCCACGCCCATCGTCCGCCGGCCCAAAAAGGTAAAAATTATGAACATGCAATGTACCTACTTAGTTGGCATTTGTTATTTATTAGTTAATGTGATGACTCATGTAGTTGATTTAGTTAGTGATCTAGTGAGATATATATGTAGATAGATAGAAACATAGACACATAGACACATAGATATAGTTAGATAGCTACTTAGATATGTAGTTACATTTTTAGTTATCTACATATGATCTAGCTATTTAGTGAGTACACTATAAATATATACGTAGTCATTATCTTGATTACTTAGTTTGTAGTTAGAAAGTACTTGTTAGGTACTATCTATCATCTAAGTTGGACTAAAGGACATGTGTTTCGTTACGTGTTTGAATTAGATGGACAACCTAGTGACCATATATCATGGAGGTACCGTTGAAAGCGATCGCTATGGATATGTTGAGTTTCTTGACATGCAAAGCGTGCATGTGCTATTCAATGATAGACCTTCATTTAGTGACATGGTTGCAAGGGCTTTGGAGGAGCTGCATTGCCTTGGAGATGATTGCATTGCAGTTGATGGTGTACTGCACCTAGGTTGTCCTCCAAACATCTTCAAACGAATGATATCAATTGGTTGTGTGGATCAGTGGGAGAACTATGTAAGATCGGCTATGAAGAGCCAGCTGTAATGTTTGGACGTGATTGTGCGTCGGGTGTTAGTTGATCCCATCCCTCATGGGTTTACCCCAGCAATGGATTATCAGGAATACATCGACCCTCTCGTTCCAGAACCTTACCTGCATGTGCAGATTGCACCTACGGTTCCCGATGCTCAATCTGCCCCCAATGTGGTATTTGGAGATGGTTGTCAGACTTATTTTTCCATGGCAGATCCTCCTTATGAGATCCTTTTGACACAGAATCATCCGAGTAAGTGTCTTAACCGCATGGTTTCTGGGAGCTTACCCTGTTCCTTACATCTATTTCTTTCATTCTTTCCTCATTTTTTAATGATGTTGCAGGAGACATTTCTGAGAATGTGGATGTGCCCCCTGTTGCTGCGCAAGTGCACTTTGTAGATGGATTCCGTGGGTCAAATAGTGTTGAAATTATGCATGATTCGGAGCCATATGAGATGGCTAGGGCTCTTGATTCTGATGATGATCGCCCTGTTGGAGAGCTGACGGAGAGTGATGTTGAGATGATGAGGCGTATCTTTTCCGGTCGCCATGATCCTAGAGTTCACGAGTTCAGCGATCTTACTCATTCCGATCAGGCGTTTGTAGAAGGACATGATGATGAGCTCCTAGAAGCTCCTGAGGCCGGTCCTAACATGGTAATTGAGAATGGGAGGGTGTTCAATGACCTCCCTGCTTTGAAGAGGTGGTTGCAGGCTTTTGTAGTGATACGAAAGAGGCCTTACAGGGTATTGCATTCATATGTGGAGCGTTGTTACACAGTTGTATGTGACAAAGAACGCTGCCCATGGAGGGTTTGTGCAAGAAAGCAACAGGTAACCGAAAAATGGAAGGTCACAAAAGTTGTCGGGCCACACAATTATGCTGACCATGAGCTGACACTGAGGCATCGGTAGTTGACATCAACCCTCATTGCTAAGCGATTGATGAGAATTTTGCAAGGAGAACCCAATATGAAGGTGAGGACAATTATCAGGACCGTTGAAGCATTGTATAGAGGATATGTGATAACTTATGGTAAAGCATGGAGGGCTAAGCAACGAGTATGGAAGATGATATATGGGGACTGGGAGGATGGGTATGAGCAGCTGCCAGTTCTTTTCAATGCAATCAAAGCGGTGAATCCAGGCATGCATTATGAGTACATCCCAAAACCTAATGTATGGAAGGATGGGAGGCAGATATTCTTCCATGCCTTCTGGTGCTTCCCTCAGTGTGTCGAGGCCTTTAGGCACTGTCGTCCCGTCTTCTCCATTGATGGTACGTTCTTGATTGGCAAATACCAGGGCACACTTCTTATAGCCATATCCTGTGACACGAACAACAAGTTGGTTCCTTTGGCATTTGTCTTGGTTGAGAAGGAGAACAATGACAGTTGGGGATGGTTCTTGAGGCTAGTCTGGATACATGTGGTTGGGCCTGGCAGGGAGGTTGGCGTCATATCTGATAGGCATCAGAGCATACTTAATGCCGTGCGAGAGCAGATAGAGGGGTATGCACCATTGCACCATCATTGGTATACTCGGCACCTTGCCGAGAATCTACTCCGGAAGGATGGTGTCAAGGGTAACTTTGATCTATTCCAGGAGGCTGCTCGACAGCTTAAGGACAAATACTTTAAGGAAAAGTTGGAGCAGGTCAAAACTACATCAAATGCAGAAGGTAGACAATGGCTCATAGGTGTAACACCCTTAGTGTTACATTGTACAGCTTTTTGCTAAAATACTGCATGGACATTTTACTTGTGTGTACATGTATGTAATATATGGTATAAATCAATTTAGGGAGCTTGAAACGTTCATTTGGAACACGAAATGAATGTTACATTGCATCTCATGTTATATTACTTGATGTCCTGAACGAATTTTTATTAAACAAAAAGGCTAATGAACGCATGCATGTGAATTTGCTCTCGCTTTCATGTTGCACGCAAAGTTGTCGTCACGTTGCCTTGGACGGTGGCTGGCCAAACCATTGTGCTGGCCCATCCTTATTTTTGTGCACATGTGAAGGACGAATGGGAGTACAGGTCGGTGCCTAACTCGTCACTGTGCGGTAGTACGATGTCGGGGAGGCAATTCAAGTTTGCGTCATCACCGGCCACTTTAAGTTACGAACGGCGTCGCCTCTGCATTTTGGCCTAGCAGCACTCCACCATTTTCTAGTTAGCCATACTCATCCGCACTATCGTGCTATTCTGCGTCGAGCTAGTAGCAGCGCCGACGAACTCCACCGCACCGTGTCCGAGCAAGAAAGCAGAGCAGCCGGAGGTGCGTACTGTTGCTGTTAGCTTGTTGACATCAGCCTAAATCATCCCTGCGTCACACCCATTTTAGGGCCGCTTTCATGTAGGAAAATAAAGCCTGGAATACATTAGAAATACGCTTGGGCCTGTTGACGCTAGCGCCAGCGCTCCTGCCGCATTGGTCTCGGCCTGCGGCCGCACTGGGCCTGCTCTCGCCCGTGGCCTGCTCGCGTCCGCGCGCTTGCAGCGCCCGCTGCCGCCTGGGCCTGCTTTTGCCCGCTGGCCTGCGCTCTCGCCTGCTCGCGTCCGCGCGCTTGCAGCGCCCACTGCCGCCTGGGCCTACTTCCGCCCGCTGGCCTGCGCTCCCGCCTGCTCACGCTCGCGCCCGCGCTGGGCCGCCCAGCGCCCTACCACGCTCACGTCCGCACGCTCATGCCCGCTCGCCGCGCTCTACGCTGGGCCGCGCTGGCCTGCCCTCATCGCGCTAGCGCCTGCGCCCGCGCTACCGCTACTGGGCCGCGCTCGCGTCGCGTGCGCCTTGCTGGGCCGAGCCGAACCGAGTGGGCCACGGTGTGAATGCCTTTT